GACGAGGTCTTGATTGCAGGAGACTCCACACCCATTCTAGCTGAAAGACTTAGGGCTGTCCTGTTAAGATTCAGGGAATCAGGCCTCAAGCTCAGAAAAGACAAATGCAAGATCGGGGTGCCTTCTACTGAATTTCTGGGATTCAAAATTGATGCTGCTGGGATTCATCCTGCTGAATCCAACCTAACTGCTATTTTAGAAGCACCCAGGCCAAAGTCTAAGGCCGAACTTCAGGCCTTCTTAGGCCTCCTGAATTTCTACAATTCTTTTCTTCCACATAAAGCTAGTGTAGCTGAGCCTCTTCACAGGCTACTAGACAAACAGGCTGTGTGGCTGTGGTCACAAGCGCATGAGGCTTGCTTTAAAGAAGTCCAGGCCTTGCTCACTTCTAACAGTGTTCTTGCACATTTCAACGAGTCTCTTCCTGTGTGCATCGCTTGTGATGCATCCCCCTACGGGGTTGGAGCTGTCCTGCGTCACCTCAGGTCTGATGGAACTCAGGTTCCTATTGCATACTACTCCAGAACATTGTCTTCTGTCCGAGCGCAACTACGCTCAGATAGACAGGGAGGCTCTGGCTGTTGTTGCTGGAATTAAAAAATTCCACGATTTTCTATATGGCAGGCATTTCACGGTCTTCACTGACCATGAGCCTGCTGCTTGGACTGTTTACCACACGTAAGCGATAAGCAGAGTAGGAGGGGAGAAGTAAGGAGAACAGAGAGAGGACAGAAAGAGAAAGGAGATGAGAGAACAACTATTCCCCATCATTTCCCCTAGAAAGCTTAGGTGGTCTATTTTTTTGTCTGCATATGATATTTTCATTACTCCACAAAGCCTGGGAAAAGAAATGGCCTGCTGATGGCCTCAGTAGGTTGCCTCTGCACAGTAGTAGAAGCTGCCCGCGCCAGCTTGTCCACATTCCTAATCAATCCACCTTGGCCCGAGCTTCTCTTAGTGCCATGGATGTTACCGCTGAAACAGGTACAGATCACACACTTTCACGTGTCCGCTCCTGGGTCCTGTCCGGGTGGCCTGAGCACTGCCCTAGTCCTGAGTTTCAGAGTTTCTGGTCCAAAAGGAACGAATTGTCCCTTTCTCAGGGTTGTTTGCTTTGGGGAAACAGAGTTGTCATTCCAACCTCAATGAGGACTAGGGTCTTAGAATCCCTCCACGAGGGTCATCCTGGCATTGTTCGCATGAAGGCTCTTGCACGCAGCCACTTGTGGTGGCCTGCTTGAGATAAAGATATTGAGGCTAAGGTACACGCATGCCACATGTGCCAACGATCTCGCCCAGAGATGCCCCAAGCTCCTGTGCATAAATGGGAGGAAACACAGTCCCCATGGTCTAGGGTGCACATTGACTACGCTGGGCCCTTTCAGGTCCAGTTCTTCTTGGTCCTTGTTGACAGCCATTCAAAATGGCTTGAGGTTGTGCCTGTCTCGTCCACCACCACTGCAAAGACTATTCAGGTACTGAGGGGGATTTTTGCTGCACACGGGCTGCCAGTTGTCATTGTGTCTGACAACGGCCCTCAATTCACCTCCTCCGAATTCCAAGCTTTCTTACAGGCAAACCTGATTCGTCATGCCACATCTGCGCCTTTTCACCCATCCCCCCACGGTATGGCTGAACGCATGGTGCGCATCGCAAAGGACGCCTTGAAGAGACTCACCTACGGGGACTGGCATCACAGGTTGGCTGACTTTCTCCTTTCTTATCGCACCACACAGTCCACTTCTACAGGGAGAAGTCCAGCTGAACTTCGTTGGGGGCGCCAACTTACTACGAGACTTGACCGGTTGCATCCGGACAGACTGCCTTCATCTACCTCACATCCTAGGGCACCTAGACAACTACTTGTGGGTGCCCCGGTTTGGGCTCGCAATTACGGGCCTGGTCATACATGGGTCCCCGCTTCTGTGTCCCGGATCACAGGTCCTCTCTCCTACGAGGTTGCCCTGGACAACGGTCGTGTCCTGCGTCGGCACATCGACCAACTCCGCTCTAGGCGGGACTTTTCTGCTGAAACTCCTGGGTCTTTTCCAGGGGGGGAGGGGGACCCTTTGGAGCAAAGGGAAGGGCAAGAGCTACTGCCCATCGCCACTGAGGGAGCCACAAACGGCTCGTCCCAAGATTCTGCAATTGCTCCGAAAAGGAAGTCTTGGAGCTTACCCACACAACAGGCACTCACGCCTACTCCAGCCAGGGAGTTACCCCGGGGGCATACTCACTTTCCACACACAGCACACAGCACTCCAGCAACGGAGGATACCCGGGGGCATCCCAACAAATCATTCCCCTCAAGAGAGCTGGCACACAATGCCCAAGGTTGGCCTGACCTTACCCCAAATCCTACAGGGGGTCAAACATACACAGAGCTAGTCGAGGAACCAAGTCCCGACTACAACACCCCTAGCACAAAACAGGGGACACCTGAGTTTTGGGAGAGTACAGAAACCCACACGAGCCCAAACACAGAATGGGGTTCAGGGAATAGACAGCCTCCTGACAGGTCTTGGACTGACCTAGGGGGTTCTACAGAGACGCCCAGCAGTGGCTATCACTTCAAGGGGCCTGAGGGTCTACAGCTAGGTAGGACAACCAGGTCACAAGCAACAGAAGCCCTGGCCTGACGAGCCCGGTGGGCAAGCAAGCAGGCCAGGCATCGGGGCACAGTCCTTGGAAGACACCAGGGCACAGTAGAGAGAACAGGCTCACGCCTCCCTCCAGTCAGGGGACTTATGCCAGTAACCAAGAGCTAAGAAGGTCACAGAGAGCAAAGAAATCTCCTAAGTACCTAGAAGATTACATAACATTGTTGGCAAGACAAAAGCCAGTAAACAGTGGGAACACTGGGGAGCAAATTGTCGTGTAAAATAAATGTTGTATGTTGATAGTAGTTTTCGCCCGGGGGAAAGGGGTGTTATGTCCCGAGCCTTGCAAACGGCTCGGGCGTTTGCAGGCAGTCCCGGGCAGGTGCAAAGCTGCCCGGGACCAGACAGGCTGTCGCCAGCGCCGTGCGCATGCGCGGGTGCTGGCGCGGGAAAGTAACCCATTTACCCGGGAGTTGCCTATATAAGAGGCTGTGAGGCGTTTGGGCTGAGCTGAAGCCATCTTCCTGTAAGCTGAACGCTGAATAAAAGAACCTGAGAACTCCAGCTGTTTCTCGTGTCTGTTTTCCCGCCAAGGACGCAACACATCCTTTTCTTCACAATCTTGTTACTCCTTTCTTTCCCCCCCCCCCACACACACCCTTAACAAACTGCATGTAGGTGTAATTCAGAATGTGCAAACATCCAGCATAAATAGGACAGGTGGTGTGTAAATGCAAACTAGCATCTCACCACTTGCGGTAGTAAACCTTTGGCACTTGGTTCCCTTTTTTCCCTTCTTTAAAGCAGACTGAGTATTTGCTCATCGCTGACAAGCAGACTCACACAGAAAGAGGGAGGGAGGGAGGGAGGGAGGGAGGGAGAGAGAGAGAGACAGAGGGAGGGAAAGAAAAGAAAGAGGAGTCAACAGAAAAAAATGTTGACAACTGTCAGAAATGCCCTTTCTTGTGCTGAAATACGGTAACCAGCAAGAGATTACGGTAAATCACAACAGGGACCGTAGTGCTGCCTGCATCGGCTCCTACAGCACAGTAAAGTTACTGCTTCTCCCTGACAGTCGAGCAGGGGAGCATTATTCACCCAGGAAGAGGGTGGTATCATAAAATCAGCACTCAGCCACCCTTAGCCATTGGGACAGAGGGAATTCATGTAATTGTGAGTCATCAAAATATACTACAGGGGGGTGGAAGGAGGATGCTGATTTATTTATTTCATTGTTGTTATTTGCAAGCAAAGTATCCCACTGTGCTATTCGGATGACTGCCTTTGATTCGTCCCCTTTTAACCAGCCTGCAACAGGAGGCTTTCAGGAGCCTAGAGGAGGTAAGTGGAGAAAGACCTTGGATATCTATGCAAAAGAAGTCCTTAGCTGAAGATGATATAACCTGCCTATCTTCCTTCCTTCCTCCCTTCCTTCCTTCTTTCCTTCTTTCTTTCCTTATTTCTTTCCTTCCTTCCTTTCCTTCCTTCCTTTCTTCCTTTTCTTTCTTTCTTCCTTCTTTCCTTCCTTCTTTCCTGCCTTCTTTTTCTTCCTTCTTTCCTTTAAATAATGTTGACAAGATTGACAGTGTTTCTTTCTCTGTTTGGGGTTTGCCTCCATCCTCCATTCTATGGAATTCTCGTATTTAATTGCCCGAGTCCACAACAATCAACTGAGAAGAAGCAATGAAGGGAAAATTGACTAGAAATGTGTTGCGATATATTTATTTGCTTACTAATATTCGTTGGCTCCTAAAAATTTTATACTGGGTCGCATTCCCCCCAAGCCATGTTTTTGGTGATGGTGGGGCCACATTTATTGATTCAATTACCAATTGGCTATGAAATGTTCTCCCACTAAAGGTATGTCTGGCTTTTCACCTATTTTCTCCATTGCAATCGAAGCATCGTCAGCTTCTTGAAAGAAGGAATACCTTTGGTTGGTTGTTTTTTTTAAAGGAAAAAAAATGGCTGGATGAAGTTTTTCTTTAAAAAAAATACACATTTAAAATAGAATTATCTTTTATTAATTATCAGCTCAATTATTAATTATTATCGAGGGGAAATCCAGCAAAGTTTCTATTTGCAGGAAGTGTGTGTCCGATTAAAGACAAGGAGAGTGCTTTTTTTTACTGCATGGAGTTTAGTTCATGAGATGGATGGATTGCTGTCCTTAGTTGACCAAGCTTCTACCCAAAAACAGTTGTAAACAGTGGGTCCAAAAGGCCAGGCGTCCAACAGTTCTGTTCTCTATACTATTTGTATGCAAAACCCATTTGTATCCAAAGAGATAAGTGCAATGACCCACAGTCAGAAACAACTGGCAATAACACAATGTTCTGAGCTTTGCTGCTAATTTGACCCATGCTGTAGGAAAGAAACCCCGAAGCCCTAAAAGAAACAAAATCTAAGTTTAAAATATCACTTCTAAAGCAGCACCCCTCTGACTTGTATGTATGTGTATGTATATTCAGAATCTATTTATGGAAGGCATGTTCAGACTCATGCCTTATTTCATTTTTTTCTACCATTATTAATCTTATAGGAAAAAGTTCCTATTGTATGATGTTATTCTCTTTGCTATTCTTAATTAAGAACAGCCCTTTGCGAAATTGTAGCTCAGGAACACAAAACATGTTTAAAGTCCTAGGTGCAGTTCTTGGACTGCCCAGATATAGCTGGAAGGACACTTTGCAGTTGTTCTGGCTGCCAATGCCATGCTAATAATCCATTGGTCTAGAATAGTCCTATGCCTTTTGTTTTGTTTTGCAATCCTTTGCATTGTCCATCATTTTTGCCCTCTGCCTAATAAATTTGAGTTGAACTTCTTGTTGATCAGTGGACCCTAAACATTTGTAGCCTCTGGAATTTCCCCAGATTACTGCACTGAAATTTGGCAGCAAACAAGCCGATTACCTTGGTATGATTTCCAACTGTGTTCTTTTTTCTGGGAAATAAAAAGAAATCCATAATAGGCTTAACACACCTATTGAGAATTAACCCCTCAAAATCACAGCCCATAAACCCAAGTTTCAGAATGTTGGTCCTGGTGTCTCTGATTGCATCAGCTTCAAATTCTAGAAGCACTCAACAGCCAAAGAATAATTTAATAATCTATAATGTAACACATTTAATTTAACAATAATGTTGTTTTCTCCCATCAGCCATAACATGGTTGCCCACCTCTAAAATAAAAAAATAGAGAAAGGATTTAGTGACTTCTAGGAGCTGTTTATCTATAATTCCCAACACATCTAACTATTCTGACTAGCAGTAACAGAAGTTAAAATCCAACAAAATCTGGAATCCCAAAAGAAGATTATCCAAAGCCAAGATAAAGAAATTGAGACTAGGAAAAAAAAAATCCGAGAATCTGCGAAGAAAAAACACATTTCATGGTTACAAATGGGATGAGTGCTTGGGCTTAGCGTGCTAGAACGGGGAGAGGGATTTTAAAGTCTGTGGAAACTAAATGAGTAAATTATGCAACTAACTCCTGTGCTTGCTTATTTGGAGGACCCAAAATTGAGTCTGTGGGGATATTGGTCCCTCCTCTGTAGAAAGAAATGCATGTACTTATTTCTCCAAGGATATATTTCCTATTGTGGTCTAATGTATAAGCCTAGTTGGGACACTAGGAATGACATGCTGTTGCTTGCTTGAAAACTTGCATTTGTTCAAAACAAATTCTTATATTTTTGATTTTAACCTACTGCATGCACCAGAGACAAATACCTTGTGTCCAATTACACTTCTATTCTATTCTATTCTATTCTATTCTATTCTATTCTATTCTATTCTATTCTATTCTATTCTATTCCATTTCATTCTATTCCACTCCATTCCATTCCATTCTATTCCATATTGTCTATTCTATTCTAGTCTAGTCTAGTCTAGTCTAGTCTATTTTCCATTCTCTATTCTATTCTATTCTATTCTATTCTATTCTATTCTATTCTATTCTATTCTATTCTATTTTCTGTTCTGTTCTTTGAATGCCCAGCATTCTAATCTTGAAACATAAGCAGCTTTATTTGGCCAAATCAGACTTAAAGTCCAGTAAGGTTTCTTCCCCCACTTTCTGAAGTTTTACATAAGGAATTGGTCTTTATAGTCATTGTTGTTTGTTCCTTTTAATTAGAGATCCCCAGATCTGGCCCTGGGATCTCCTGTATGTGTATTACAATATACACCATCTATGCCAAAAGTATTTTTTACTGAGCCCAGAGCTAAATCCAGATATTTCAAACAGATCATTCCCTGATACCAATCAAGCTGTCTTGATCAGACCAAATGAAAACTAGGTTGCAAGGAGAATTCCATACATAGTAAGCATTGCAACTTCAGCCATGCATCTTAAATCGCAAGCGGAGCTTTCAGAGTTACCCTCTCAGTTAACGTAAGGCACATTTGTAATGTAGAGGAGAAAATGGAAGAGAAATCACTGCAATATTGGTTTTCTTATGTTGCAAATTACCGTGAGGCTAGCATGGAAATGTCCATGATTTCTTCTTAGCATAAAGCTGCAGATTGTTTTGCTTGCAGCAGAATTAACAGAAAGAAGGCACACATAAGACCCGCTTGTTCTAAAAAGACCCAAATCTTGCCTTTTTTTCTGGGGGGATGCTGCAGGATAATCAATAGCCAATTTGTCGGAGAGCAACATTTTTATTGCCCAAGATTCGGAGGTATTTGATGAAAAAACATAAGAAGCAATCAGCCTGAAGAGCACCAACTGATGAGCAAGCAGCATTGCAGTCAACAACAGTCTGTATGCAATGTTAAAAACTCAGTAAAGTTTGATTCCTAATTTTGGAAAAAATATTGCTGTTGGAATATTGGCCAACAAGAAGCCTGGTGTTTGAAATGTGTTTTCTCCTTTTGACTTCTTTAGGAAACAGCTCATCTGTCAAGCAGAAGAGCACAGACCACCATCTCCTCCGAGTTCCTAGCAGGTCTATAACCATTGTTTGTTAAAAGGATTATATGCTGGGTCAAGTTGTCACAACTTTACAATTATTACAGCTTCTTTGGCAACTTGAGGTCATAAAGCTAGTCATGGATGAAAAGACTAGATGTTGAGAAGTGTCAACCAGAGTGACAGACAGCAATTTTTCTTTCACCTGGGAAGATTTTTCGAAGTCAAATATGAAGAAGACATAAGAAAGAGCAAATAATACTCTGCTATTATTTGTGCTGTGTCTTTCCATGAAGAACTTCTAGACAGTCTGGAAGCTGATGGCCTTTCTACATCTGCAACTTTCCTTGCTTAGTAACAAAAAGCATCTTGTGGCTCAATGGGTATTATTTTAAAAACTAAAAAAGAAACTAAGAAAGAGGTCTTTAGCTCAGTTTTAATATGGTTTCATCAACAAACATCCAGCAAGGTGTGTTAAACTTCAAAGAGACTATTTTAAAGAGAACCATTATAATTGCTTTGGAATTATTTATGAAACAAGAAACGCCTATGTTTTTCCTGGGAGCAAATGAAAAAGAAGAAATGTGGATTTTCAAATATGTTCATTAGGCTAGGGTTTTGCTCTCTCCTCTGCATTTATAAAGCCAGACTAGTATTTCCAATTAGTTTCTATCTACAATGTGGAAATAAAGCTTCTCATAACACTACCAAATATTTGCTCTTGGCTCTTTCAAAGAGAGAGAAGAGAGAATCACAAACACCCTGGATGAACATTAACCAGTTTTGATAATGGGACTGACCTCTGAGAACATCTCTGCCCCTGACTGCTTCAATTGCACCCAGACTGTGGAGCAAGTAAATATTTTTAAGGCCATATTATTAGGTGTCATCTTTGGAGGGCTGATAGTTTTTGGGGTCCTGGGCAACATTGTGGTCATCCTTTCCGTAGCCTGTCATAAACATCTGCAAAGCGTAACCCATTACTACATTATCAACTTGGCTGTGGCTGATCTCCTCTTGACTTCTATTGTTCTCCCCTTTTCTGCTATTTTTGACATCCTGGGCTACTGGGTTTTTGGGAGGATCTTCTGCAACATCTGGGCAGCCGTTGACGTTCTGTGCTGCACAGCTTCTATCATGAGCCTTTGTGTCATCTCCATAGACCGATATATTGGAGTGAGCTACCCACTGAGATACCCAGCAATAGTGACTGAAAAAAGAGGTCTCTTGGCTCTCCTGTGTGTGTGGGCATTGTCGCTTGTGATATCCATAGGTCCTCTTTTTGGCTGGAGACAACCACCTCCAAAAGATGAAACAAACTGCCAAATCAACACTGACCCAAGTTATGTAGTGTTTTCTGCTCTCGGGTCCTTCTATCTGCCCCTGGTCATCATACTGGTGATGTATTGCCGGGTATACGTGGTAGCCAAAAGGGAAAGCAAAGGATTGTCATGTGGCCTGAAGACTGAGAAGTCCCACTCAGAAGAAGTGACTCTTCGTATCCACCGCAAGAACAACACTGAAACTGCCCCTACCACCAAGCAGAAATCCAATTTTTCCATAAGGCTTCTAAAGTTCTCTCGGGAGAAGAAAGCAGCCAAAAGCTTGGGAATAGTTGTGGGATGTTTCATCCTGTGTTGGCTTCCTTTCTTTTTAATCATGCCACTTGGTAAGTAGAATATAAATACACTGGCCAATGAAAATGTGGGGTTATGTGATATGGGTGCTTCTCTGAATATCTGAGATTCTAGATGAGTTCTTCATCTGATGTAACTGGGGAATGTCTTTCTGAGTTGAGTCATATATAGTGATAGAGTAATTTATGAGGTAAGAGTAGTGTTATTTTTGTACCCCTGTGTCCTTTTTCTCTACTGTTGAAGATGTACAGATACAGATTTAAGCGGCTAGGTATTGGGTAAAAGAAGATGGGATTTTGGCACTGGCCATGGGGATCTAGATAAGGCAGAGGATAGTTCTGCTTCACGGGCATTATTTTTGATAAGAAAATCAGATAGCACATCCTGTTTGAGTCATAATAAGAACAGGAGATGATCAAACAAATGTGACTCACTGGGCATCATTCTGTGAATTCTTAATATTTGCTCAGCCATTCAGAACTTATATGGATATGTGGTCTTAATTAATAACAGAATGCCTCTGAGAACATAATCAGGCTAGGAATTCATGATCACCACACCAGAGCCAAGCTCACAATTCCTTTCATCCAAAACTCCTCCCCTTACTTCTCCTCAAACATTATTTTCAGCAACTTAGTTTATAGGCAATGAGTAACAAATCAGCTGTTTTGATGGTTAAGTAAGTGGCAAGTGTTTTTGACTTCTAGTCTTCTGCATGTCACCCCAACATTTATCTATCTACACAATTATTTCCATATCATAAAGTCCAGGTTACATTTGAGAGCATACACAGAATAATCTTCAAAAGATCTGCTCTCGAGATAGAACTTTGGATTGCATTGAATTTGTCTTACTATCATTTGTAAGAAACTATCTTTCCTGTGATTTTCAAAAAGTTTATCTTTCTGTCAAATGTATGAAACCTATTTATCAAGGTTTATCAAAACTACTTTAACACCTGTTGCTGGAGAAAATTTTTAAAAAGGTCAAGGACAACCCAATCCAACACAGCACTAGCTAAGGGGAGATATCTTCAATTCTTCTCTTATGCATGTTGGGTTGTAAAAAAAAATGAAGAAGCTACCAATGAAAGGTCTTAATGTGTATGTTTGAGAAATGAACGTGAGCAATTGAACAATCAAAATGCATCTGAAAACAGTTCAAATCCTGCTTTAAATCGATGTTATTCCCAGCTTAGAAGGAATGTTGATATTAGTTTTAAATGATGGATAAGGTTGTGGTGTCTTATTTGGTCTCCTTCAAACAGCCCAAGTGCCTTCTGTCTTCCATAATTTAGACCAGGGGTTTTCAAACTTGGCAACTTTAAGACTTGTGGACTTCAACCCCCAGAATTCCTCAGCCATTTAAGTCCACAAGATTTAAAGTTGCCAAGTTTGAAAACCCCTGGATTTAGGCATTTGAATGACAATCATACTGTCTGGGTACAGCTTAGAGTCCATTAACAAATATATGTTTTCAGATTTAAATGCTAAGCAGTTGAAGAAAAAAGCTGAATATAGGAAAAGTTTCTTCTGGAAACACATAATATTGGATTCAGGAAAAAGGAGCATAATCCAAAAAATTGGTGGTTTTAGGCTAGTTAGTCTTCAACTGCCTGATTATTGCCAAAATGTGATGTGGGGGGGAGGTGAGAGACAGACAATAATAAGAATATTAACAACAATAAACAATAGAAATTAGCCATGTAAAAGTAACAGGTGGAAATCTCCTTCGCTCATAGATCTGTTGATTTAGGGCTTGTAGCCACTTGTCTAGTTAGGATTTCTGACTGAGTGGAGTCTTTGAGTGGACTCATAGATCCCAAAGAAATCTATATGTCAATACCCAGAATGTTTTCTTTGTTTAAAAAATACACCTTTCCTTTGTAATGTTTATTAGATCTTTTTTTTTAATTGATATGAAAATAAGTTTTAATAACAGCCAAGTTACTTTGGGGAAGAATTTCACTATAAAACCAATAGACTGTGGTCCTGTCATTAAGTAGCTGTTAGTTGCAGATGGTTTACTCTGTGGTTATTAGAAGTTCCTCCTTAATGAAGTTCCTCTTGGAATTACGAAACTATGCGTTTCCAGATATATAGTGTGTGTGTTTTTCTCAAGAATTCAGCAGCCTGTTATGGATGGAAACTGTTACGGAATTCAGCAACTCACACACCCACAACTGTGGTGAACAATCCTAGCAATGCTTTAGAGCCCGTAGTCAAAATAAGTGTGTTGAACAAGTCATACCAAATATTTCTGTTTTGTATAATTATCACTCATGTTGTCTGTGGAGATTCTCAAGTCATCCAGGTCACAGTTGTCTCAAAGATGCTTTTTTCTTCAAAACTCAGCTGGACTATTTTTTTTCTTTGAGGGAGAAGTAGAAAATGAAAAGAAAAATTCTTCCTCAAAGAAAAAAACAGTCCATTTGCTTGTGAGGGGGGACACTTTTGAAATATCACTCGTGTTTTAACTTTTCCTAAGTAAAACTCTGAGAATTTTTTTTTCTTGCTTTAAACAACTTTTCCTACCTCAATTATAATCCAAACCTATAAAATATAGATTTCTACAAAGCAAAAAAAAAAAAAAAAAGGCCAAGGACTGCATACAATTCTTCTTCCTATTTTGGAAATACTTTGAATGAAACATCCTTTACAAATTCTGGATATTAAATTAGTTCTAGTTCAAACTCGTTAGAGCTTTAAAATTGCCAGCATGTAAAATCCAGAATTGTGGTCAAGCATGCCCAGAAGGATAGATTAAGAAGGATGCTGGCCTCTTATTCTGGGAAGTATAAATGCCAAAAGTGATTTAACAAAAGTTCATCAGATGGAGCCTGACTCAATTAATTTAAAAGAGAGGCTAATCTACTTTTGCTTAATTTTACTATATACATCGTACCTAGTTTGGGGCTGAAATATGAGAGTGGGCAGTAATAAATGAGAAGAATACTTTTAGGAGAAAGGAATAGCTGGAATGGCAGGATTTCATTTAATATGAACAATATGTTTTGTAATCCATGTTATGCTATTGTTTTATTACTTTCAAATAGCAAACTTAGTTTGGAAAAAAAAGCAGGCTTTGGTAAAAATGCTAAATACTCTTTCATCTATCATTTATTTCAAGGACTTGTGTTCAACAAAGTTCACTATCTTAGTAATTAAAATATTATTTAACTTCAGGTATGTTCATCAATTATTAATTTCATTCATTCTTTTCAAAGGAGAAGATGGATTTTCAGGATCATTTTTTAAATTAATATTCAATTGTTCAGCAACCTCAGGAAATGCCTTTCTATAATCTGTTCACCAATAGTTTTTATGCCAATGTTTTACTTAAACGCCTTTGAAAAGCCTGTAATTCAGTTCAACAGAGGAATCTTATTGTGTGTGTTTTTCTTCCTACAAAATCGATCAACTTATCTTAAAAAATCTTCCTTTATGTACATATCATCAAATGGTGAAATTATTAAACCCAAAGAGAAGCAGTTTAATAATCACAATTTGGGATTGTGTGAACAGCTGGTACAAATAAATGTTATGATGAGGATGTATATTAGAAAAAATTGAGTGCTAGGTTTGTTTATTTTTTTTCTTCTTTTAAAATGATTGCTTATCCATCATAAAAGACAAATAACAAATAAAAGTTAATGATTAAGAATACTGCCAGGGAACTCGTTACTCTAAAAAATAAAAACATAGTAACATGGAAAGTTTGTCCTTTAAAGCAGCTGTTTAAATTATGTTTATTTATTTATTAAGTTTATTTGATGCCCATCTTACTACAAGGTGACTCTTATGTTCAATAAGATGCGCTTGCTAGTAAATTTACAATTGTTGCTTTAGCAGCACTCATATACATTTATTTCTAAATTGTAATTGCATTATTTATAGTTACTAAATTGATAGGAATCCGCTGTTAATTGCATTTATTGATGACTTTTCTATTTAGCTCAGGTCTTAGAGATGTTGACTAAATTTGCTTTCATGTTTTGATTTTGAATTCAGCATAACATATGAACCTACCCCAGGCTTCTTAATAGGTGTTAATTCAAAATTCTACTTTTTATTTAAGAAGGTTGGCCAAAGCTAAATACATAGATGACCCAGTTCCATTGCTCCTACTGTATTTGTTCTGGCTTCCACAAATGAAGTTATTCCATTATTATATTCATTTTTTAATCTCTGGCATCATTGGGATGTGAATTGCCTTCTGAGTTATGAACGGAAATGAAGCATAAGAAGAGGGGCAGAACAGGGGTATAGAAATGCAAGCAATTGAAAAATCAACTTTGTCCAATGGTTAGGGTGAAGGATTCTCAATCAAACTGATCTCCCAGATTGTTATAATGATAAAACTGGAGTGACCAGGTGATGGGAATTGCCCTAACCATAACTTTAGAGGAAAGGTGGGCTATAAATAATGATTATGTGCCAACATGTCATTGTCAACTTAGCAATTACATAGATATTATAGATATTGACGTGACAAGCTGTCTCCAACCAAGTCTTTTAGGTTTTCCAATGGTGCATCCAATGCCATTGTAACTTTCTCTATTTGCTTTGCTGCTGATCATCCTCTTCTTCTCTTTCCTTCCACATTTTCCAGCACTATATCCTGATTTATAAAATAATAAGAAGGCATTAAGCTGATTGTTAAAGCTCTGACGAGTTTAGGAGTAGAACATTCAAATGAAGATACCGACATTCACATATATTCCTGCAGAGAGAGTTTCTTCTCATTGCTTACCATGTCAATGTAATTTCCCCTCTACGTTGCCTTTTGTTCAACAGCTCAATAAATAATGGATGAAATTCAGACTTCTGAAATAACTGTTGCATTCCATTTGAATTCATGAGTTTCACTACCATGAATGAGAGAAAGTGATCCAGTTCCCCCCGGAGATTAGGACCGCTCCCACCCTGCTGGTTTTCCGTAAGCTGCTTAAGACCTGGCTTTTCCGGCAGGCCTGGGGTTTATAAAATCTGACCCCTGGATGACTGTAATTGTACTGTTCGTTTGTCATGTT